GCCGCCTTGTCTCCCAAGCTTGTCTCCCTTCATGATTTCGCTTTTGGTTGCCGCTGCCGCCTTGTCTCTCAAGCTTGTCTCCCTTCCTGATTTCGCTCTTGGCTGCCTCTGCCGGCTTGTTTTCCAAGCTTGTGTCCCTTCGTGATTTCGCTCTTGGTTGCCGCTGCCAGCTTGTCTCCCACCCAAGCTTGTCTCTGTTCCTAATTTCGCTTTTGGCTGCCGCTGCCGCCTTAAGTCTTCCAAGCTTGTCTCCCTTCATGACTTCGCTTTTGGCTGCCGCTGCCGCCTTGTCTGTGAAGCTTGTCTCCCTTCATGATTTCGCTCTTGGCTGCCGCTGCCGCCTTGTCTCCCAAGCTTGTCTCCCTTCATAACTTCGCTCTTGGCTGCCGCTGCCGCCGTGGTTCCCAAGCTTGTCTCTGTTCCTAATTTCGCTCTTGGCTGCCGTTGCCGCCGTGGTTCCCAAGCTTGTCTCTGTTCCTGATTTCGCTCTTGGCTGCCGCTGCCGCCTTGTCATTATCTTGCCTGCCTTTGACGCGGATGCTGTTATAAGATGATTTAGGTATATTTAGGTCTTGTTTACTTTTTCCATCCTTTTCCCTGCTTTGAGCTGGATGTCTCCCAAGTTTGTCTCCCGCTCTTGCCGTGCTATCCTTTTCTTGAAGTGCTATCTGGGGTCTATGCCGGTATAATTTCTTCCTTCGGGCTTTTGATCGTCTCCCCAGGATGAACTAGTGTCTGCGCTGTTGGAAGATCCTGAATGGCTGATGGAATTTGGGCAACTAGCCCGAAGATGCCGCAGGCAAGATCTTCATGCCTTGTTGCTGTGATGGCCTTGGTACACCGATATGTGTGCACACACAAAGGCACGCACGTGTGTATGAAATGCATAGCACACCACATCTCCCATCTCTAGATGTAGCTTATCGGCACATTTCTATGTCATGCACGTAGTACATCTCAATTCACATGCAGCACGTGGATATAACGTTTAAACCAGGTTCAGTTCCAATCCCACTGCCATCGCAGGTGTTTGACCCGACCCCGGCTGCACTAGTGATTGCAAGCTTTTTGGCTGGGATTACGGACCTGGCCCTTTAAAGCGTACAGTGGTTTCACTAATTCTCCCATTGCAGGCAGCATTTTGTTAATTTGTGTAGGTGTCGGTGGAACTTGGTTTGATTACTCTCAGGGATATACTGCGGCTGAGTTGCTTCAGGGCTGCTTCGGAGGGATGAATATTCTTCAATTTATAAGGTAGCGGTGGCCATCACCTGAAAAAGAGCAACGTCTCCCAAATGGAACACATTTCAGTGGATTGTCAAAAGGTGGCCACTTGTATAATAAGGAATGCTGGGTTCGTGGCAAAGGCCGAATGCTTTCACAGCATGTAGCTGGAAGGTGTTTCGGCCTGGCTAAGCTCATGTTCCTCAGATTCTAATCAGCCTGCCCTGTTCTGACGACATCAGATGGGGTAGCATGTTTGTTTCACCTATTGTAGCTTCATATCATCCAACTATTTGCAATTGTTTGTGAGCGACCAAGAGAATCAGCACTCAAGGCCCTGGTGAGATTAACCTGCAAAGTTCCTTTCTTCCAGAAACTTTTCCTGTTTTGTCCTGGCTTCCTCATTTCCATGTGCTGGGCTTAGTGGTGCAGGCTTTCAACTAGGTCGCTATCAGACGCAGCCAAGCGGGAGCAGCGTTCGCTGGCGTGAAAGAGGTGGGCTCTAATCGATTTGCAAGAAGAGGTCACCTCCAATCGATTTGTTCCAGAAGAAGAGCTTTTTCGAAACCATCACGAAGGTGTCGCACATGTGAAGCTGTTTGTTGCGCCCGCTTTTGTGGCCCAGGGCGATTTAGGAAGTTGGAAGTCTCAGGGCGATTGGTCGTAGATCCAGTTGACAATGCTCAGGGAGCCTGTGACCAATGTGCAGAATGGGCCCTATGGGGCCTCCGGGGCAGGACTTTACCAATTCGCTCCGAACCAAACTATGCCTGGGCCTCGGGTGGTTGGGGCTCAGCCGTACAGATTTCCGGTGCCTCCTGTGCCAATGGCAGCTCCTGCTACGACAGCGACTGCTCAGCCAATTCATTTTGCGGCCACACCAGTAACGAGCACCATGAAGCAGGCTACCCCAGCCTCAATGCCCTTGCCCGTGTCAAGCGGCCTTGCGAACACTGCGGTCCGCTTGCCTTCAGTGCAAGCTTCACCACCTTTGCCATGTGCACAGACCATGGCACAGACCCAAGTTGCCGCATCACCAGTGGCAGTGAGCACCCCGGTTCTCTCAGCTGCCCCCACTCCAAGTGCAGCTTTTGTGGCTGCACCTGTGGGTTCCATGTCACCGGGGGCTGCACCCATGGTGTCACTTCAGTCGGGGCAGGCTGGATCCATCCGATCCCCAGTTGGATCACTGCCTGTTGGGTCACTTCCGGCCCCAGTGCAGACTGAGATCCCTGCGGGAGCCTCACCTGTACATGCATCCGATCAAGAGGCTGCTCCCCAACAGATTGTCGGATCTTTGAAGCAGAAGAAGGGCAAGAAGGCCAGAGCCAAGAAATGCGTGTGCTGCCAGTAGAATCAGTGGGTGGAATGAGCGTAGTGCTGAGATGGTCTCCTTCTTGTCCGCACCTCGCGAAGAAAATGAGCGTTTCAAGAACATGTAAGGACTGCGGGGGACGTTTGACTGCCAACAATAGCTGCGTAGCTAGCTCTGCTCATTTTCTGCATGTTGGTTTTGTTCTGGCAAGCTGTCAAAAGAAGTAAGAGGAATCAGACGGCCTTGTTCAGCCATCAGCACGTGAATTGCAACTCCTCCATGATGAAACATACTTTGCATGACTCCGCAGCTTCCCAATGTGACCCGTTGCTCCGTAGCGCCTTGCTATCGCCATGGCGGCTTTGCCCACCACCACGGTGGGCCTCCCCACCACCACCGTGGGGGCGACGGTGGTGCATCCAGCGGCCACGAGCTACACTGCTAGCCTGCCGACGTCCAATTGGATCCAGCCAGCGCTTCCCACAATTCCGGCGACTGCTCAGCCAGCTGCAGGGGCCCCCCTTCCAACCATCTCGATGCCTGTAAGTTCGCTTCCGACGACCGTCCCACAGCCTCAGTACACGTATACGACTCCCACGGTGGCCTCCCAGAGCTATCCCTCGGCTTACCTCGGGCCGATGGCCCCGTCGCAAGGGCCCTTAGCTGTGCCGATTCCAACGGTTCCGCTGCAGCCAATGCCGTCCCAACCAGTCAATGCTGGCAACACGGTGCCCCAGCCTTCAGCTGGTGCCAGTGGGAGACCAGCAAGCACTTCAATTGTATCACATGTCACTGGAGCAGCAGCAACTCCAACCAATGCACCAGTCCCAGTCCCCTCTGGCTCGCCTGTCGCCATGCCAACACAATCCTTTTTAGCAGTGGGACCTACGATTTCCCAGGGATCTGGCAAGGTTGAAGCCTTGCCGACAAGAGCCGCGATACCACAAGGTCTTGGGGAAGCAAGTGAGAATTTGGATGAGGCAACCGTGCCAACACAGTCCTTGAAGAATGTACCAAAGTCCTCCAGGAAGACCAAAAAAAACAGGAGAAGATGGATTTGCTGTTGAGAGGGAGCGTTCTAAGAATATACCAAGCTTGCGGCGTAAGATGTGCTGCAAGAGAGTATGACTAGCTTCGAGGTGAAAAAAAATCGCGATTTTGCTACTTGATGCGAGCTTCTCTGTTTGAGCAGTTGTGACCCGATTCGGTTTCTCATTTATATAAACCTACACTTTTATAACTGGCTTTGGCCCGAAACACTTGGCAGAGAGGTAGAGTGAGCCTCACAATTGCCTCTCGGCTCTAAAGTGCTTACTACGTGGTAGACACTCATTCCCAAAGCTAGGAGAAGCACCTCCGAAGTGCAAAGCATGCTTGAAATCTTCGTGGGGAGGGCCATGAGGTTTCTTTGACATCGCCAATCCCCAGTGAACCGAATCTGTTTCTGGGTAGGCGGCGCTTCTTTCCCGGGACACTTGCCCAAGCTGCATGTGATTTTCTCCAATTTTGAGAGCCGTTGTTTTGCGATGCATTGAACGTGAGGACTGCTTCAGCCATGGACGAGACATTGGATTTGGCCAGGAGCCCAGATTGACCAAAAGAGCAGGATAGCAACAAAGAAGAAGAAAGCACTTCCACTGGTTGAAATTTGCAGCTGACATGAGAGGTGTTAGCGCGGCCTTCTCCTCTGAGAGACTGCAGCAATGAAGTCAAACGGGCTAAATTGCTGCGGTGAAGTCTTCTTCGAAAAAAGTAACGCCTTCGCGGCATCACAGTCTTGAATGTCATGAGCAGCCTTGAGGGGGTCTAAAGGTGGGACTCCCATGACCAGGTAGTGCAATTTTTTGGTGCAGTCAGGCTGTGATCCCAGGTGCAGCATGGCTGTGACCAGGGGGATCGAACTCCCGCGCCGCATGACCCAGAGGAACAGCCCACCAGACATCACCATCCCCTCGCCAGGTCGAAGCCTTTAAGACTCCCAACAAGCGCCGCAGCCGCGGGGAGGACCGACTTCGGCGGCCGAGTCATGGCTCGGAGGAAGAGACCAGGCCGGAGATAAAGAAGCTACCAGTCACAAGTGCATCGCTACTCGTAACAAGGGCAGTACTTCATTACTACTAGTAACAAGAAGTTGCTAGTAGCCAAGGGCACCCTCCTCAGAGCGGAGGGAGGCGCTTCTGGTCCGGGCGTGGCATGAGAGTCGATGCTTGAAGAGGCCCCTGGCTGAAGCGGAGATGATGAGCTTCGTAGCACGCATAGCTTGGGGATGAGGGGAACATGGTCTTCGCCGGTGATGTTTTGCAATGGACACACGCACACACGTGCACCGGATTTGCGAGCCATTGCCAGTCAATAGCTTGAATTGACATCTCCAGACTCAGAACTGAGGACGAAATGCGTAAACAGTGTGGTGCTCAGTGCGACGCAATTTCACAAGGGCGAAGGGTTCGGGAGCTGGTTCTTTTTTGAAGGGACGGGCTCACCCAAGGCTGAGCTTATGGCAATCACACTTGACGGATCTCACGGCTGAGCACAGGGAAGCTGAAAGACTGCGGCAGGATGGGAAGCATGATTGTTCCAGTCACAGTCATGATCCACATGCAATATCATTCAATTGCGATTGGAAGATGGTGTGGAAGTCTTTGGCTGTTCGAGTGCATATCGTACGGATGCACCGTGTGGTGAGCCAAGGTACGACGCCCTGCTTCTCCTCACAACAAGCAAGCCTGAACCAACTAAACTATTTCAGCCTCAGTAAATATTTCCCGATCAGCTTGCAAACCAGCATAGTTGTGTTCGTTCGCTCTCGTCACACCTATAGTACGTGTACATGTATATATATATATATGTACACTTTCCCGAATGGCAGCTTGGCTGGGCTGAGTCGTTCTCGGTCATTTCATATTGTGACGGTGTGAAACACGGTTGAAAGTGCTTGCACCTGGTAGCTCTCTGCATCGCTTGAACTCTGTGCTTTGTAGCTGGCAGCTTTGGGGCGTCCGACACAGAGTCGCCGTTCGGCCGACGCGTTCGTCGGACATCCGTTGCAGGACACGTCCAGCTTGCGGAGCAGGCTGGTGAATTGCGAGGCGGAAGCGAGCGAACGTGCCAGGAGGCGGGGAGAGCCGACTCGCCTGGATGATGGTGCATTGCATGGCGTGAAACGCTTAGGAAACGGTTTTTGGAGCTAGACCTGGATGGCCGGATGGGACGAAATCCGTTGCCTTGGCTCAAGCCTATGGCCCCTTTTTTCGGCCAGTGGCTTTTTGGGAGGATCATGTGAGTGTGAAGTGCAAGATCTTCGAGGTGCGTTCGATCAGTGGCGCGTTTTGCGCACATGCGAGCCGCTCTGTTCGAGCAGGGTGGGCCACTGAGCCTTTTGGTCAGGCTCGCGGTGATCCTCCAAATCTTGAGCCTCAACCTACTGATAGAGGCTGGGGGAGGGAGAGAGAGCAGGATGCCAGTGATCATAGTTTTTATTCTCATGCATGTTCAGGTGGGCTGGGCCAAGAGGCGCAAGTGACACCAGTTGCTTCAGATGAAGTCCACATGCATTTTTTTTGAGCACAAAAACTTCAGGAGTCATTCCACACGTGACGCAGCCATACGCAGCCTTTTCTCTTGTTTGGCTGTGAGGGCTGCCACCCAACTGCAACCAATGAAGCAATCAATGGCTCGAAGCCTAGTCACCTAGGAAAGCCTTGAGCTGAAGATCAGACCATGGAGCCTGTTTGCTCGGTTGGAGGTTTTCCTTCAGTTGTTAGAGTTCTTTGTCCCACAGAGACTGTTGGCACATTGGAATCGGAACCTGTGAGAAGTCAGGTGCTGCCATTGCTGATTTTCAGCTGCTGCAGCTCAACAGATGCATCTAGGATCCAATTGTTGCTTTGCAGAGGAAGGGTATGAGAAACGCATGTACATCACCGCTGAGGCGATGAAGACATCCTATGGTAGATCGCCGCTCGCTCCAACAGCCACTGCTTGCGAGCATGAGCATGAAAAGCAATGAGCATGGAGCCTACCACCGCCCCCCAACAATCATGGCCCCCCCTTGGAGGCCTAAGACCTTTTTCGTCGAAAAAACACCCTCCGTGTACCTCGCGAGGTGGGGCTCTGGATGGATGCCCCTCACCTCTGAGGCCCGTGACCGACATGCAACGGTGGACTCGCGTCGACACGCCACGTTCCACGCGATGCGACCCCGCGACGGACCCGGCCAGGACCAAGCGATCAAGACCGTCTTTCACACCGGCTTGTTATCGCGTGACGCCGTGAAGTCGAGGCCCCTGCGGTTGTCATTTTGGGGCTCTGTGTTGGTTCATCTCCTTGCGAAGGTCGGCAGTTGACACGGCAAGCGGCATAGTTCGCAAGGACTGGGCGGTGATGGCCTGAAAGTGCGAACACTTCCAAACACGACGTGACTGGATGCCCCTGAGGTTGGTTTGTGTTGTGAGCGCCAGTGAACGCCTTGAAGCTTCATTGTATGAGGTCGAGGCAAAACAAGCCATTCAAATCCCTGTGAGGAGTGTCCTCCTGGCTATGTGCTCTCTGATAGCGATGAATGCTCCCCCATCACGTGCGAAGTTGGCCTGGGTGCCTCTTGCGCCACCTGCCGGAACCAAGCCCTCCGATCTGCAGAGAACCAATGTGCTACATGTAATGCCGGATATTGGCTGGATACAGTCCCTCGGAAGTGACCAACCATTTTTCTCGCTGTCAACTTCATTATTATGTTTGATCCTTTGGTTTTCATACCAATCATGCCGGACAGTGGCGACATAAGGGCACTTTGTGCTCTGCCTTTTAGCCAAGGAAACCTTTACTTGTGACCTGTTCTTGTGCAAGACGGGTGAAGACGGACCCACTTGTGCAAGCTGTCAGCCAGAATACAAAAGGACAGAGGGACTTGGAAAGAAAGCTGTGCTTGATAAATGTATTTTTCTTGTGGCAGACCTGCCATTGTAGCCTTGATGTTGCGGAGGACCGGCACCAACCACTGCGCAATGTGCCACAAAGGTTTTGAGCTCATCGCAGGCACGGCTTGCCTCACTCTTGGTGCTACATTTTGCATCGTGCTGGGCACTATATGTAGCAGTGGTGAATGGACCACAGCCCTGAAGTGCATTTTATGCTGCGAGCACCTTTTTTTAGCGATGTAGGTGCCTGCAATCCTATTCCCTGTATTCCTGGTGCTGGCCCGTCGTGCAAGAAGTGCGTGCGTTGTCTAAATTTAGCCTTGCAACAAGCTGGCATGTAAGTACATACATGCGTACATACATGCGCAATGCGGGTTAAACCATACCTCTTGGAAGCAAATCCTTGTTGTGTAAGGTGCCACCCAACAACCGGACCCGTGCAGGGCAATGTGCATCCTGCAATGATGGGTATCAACTCACAACAGATTTGCAGTGCAAGCCGCTGATTTGTGTCACTGGTGCAGGGGCAGCGTGCAAAGTATGCAAAACGCCGACCGCACTCACTGGAGACGGCCAATGCCTGCAATGCAACGCTGGCTACTACCTTGATGCTGATACTGAACACTGTGTGCCGTGGCCTTGCCGGGAAGGAAGCCGAGCTGGCTGCAAGGCATGCAAGTCTCAGAGGGATCGGACTGCTATGGATCAGTGTCAGGAGTGCAATGCAGGGTACAAGCTTTATGCTGATGGAAGTTGCCATCCATACAAGTGCAACTTGGCAGGCCCTGGCTTTGCCTGCCGATCGTGCCGACCACAAGAAGACATGAGGGCTGACAACCAATGTGCCACCTGCAATCCCGGCTTTCGATTGGCGCCGGAAACCTTTATGTGTCTTCCTCATAGCTGCAACCAGGGGCCTGGAAGCGCATGCAAGACTTGTGCGACTTCTGAGACTGCGACCCATGATGGGGAGTGTTTAGAGTGCAATCCCGGGCATCAGCTGATGCCAGATGGCAGTTGCCGGCCTTATGAGTGCATCCCAAATGAAGCTGGTGCCGGTTGTAAGACTTGCCGTCAGCCACTTGAGTCACGAACCAGTGATCAGCAATGTGCCACATGCAATGAGGGCTTCACACTGGCTGAGGACAAAGCATCATGCATCGCCATTGATTGCACAACGGGTCCCGGAAACCTATGCAGAAGATGCACATCAGACCGCACGAAGTGTGATGATTGCAACAGAGGCTACTACCTGACTTTTGACCGTGCCTGTCGGGCCTTTGAGTGTTATCCATCACCTGGTTCGGGATGCAAGGCTTGTCGACCGCTCGAGCACCGAACTGCCAGGCATCAGTGCTCCGCATGCAATGACGGCTATTTCTTGGACGAAGATTTTTTCTGCAAGCCTTGGCCGTGCAAGGTGGATACCAAGGGCATCGCTTGCAAAGTCTGCAGACCATTGGCAGACCGAACCGGACCTCAGCAGTGCCAAGAATGTAATTCAGGCCACTTGCTGACTGAAAGCTGGAGCTGTGCTCCGTTTCGGTGTGCCACTGGATTTGGAAGCGCGTGTAGGACTTGCCGGCCCTTGCACCAGCTGACCAGTGATGACCAATGTGACGCATGTAACTTTGGGTATCGCCTCTCAAGCAGCTTCACATGTGAGCCCTACGAGTGCAGCACAGGAGCAGGCACCAGCTGCAAGACTTGCAAGGATCAGATTGCGCGCAGCAGTGACGGGGAGTGCGATGCTTGCAATCCTGGCCACGAATTGACTGACTCAATGTGTCGGCCCTATGTTTGCACTTCCGGTGCGGGGTCCGCCTGCAAAATTTGCAAGCCTCCAAAGCTGCGTGCTCAAGATGAGGAGCACGAGTGTAATGTTTGACGCCAGTGTGCTGATGTACCTCCGGAAGATCAATTTAACGTACTAACGTACTGTAGGGTTTATTGTAGTGTTTATTGGGGGCCAGAGTCTGAATAATTCATGATTCAGTTGATTCAGTTATATGTTTTATACTGCAAATATGTGTTTTTACGCTCTGTTTGGTGAACGTTGCCGGAGCTTAGGCACTGAATTTGGTGTGTTAGCAAATATAGAGTTACTTTATTTAGTTGACCCTGCAATGTTCTGCGCCGTGTCTTGTGTTTCTGGCTGCTGGCCCTTTCCTTGAGGAGTGTGCCGAGTGCAACCCCGGCTTCTTTCTGAGTGATGGCAGCTGCAAGCTCATCAAATGCCGTGTCGGTCAAGGCAATATGTGCAAAGAGTGTTTGCCCCAAGAGGCACGAACTAAGCGGGATCAATGTATGGAGCCTTGGCAAGAGTGATGTGTGCAGAGGCAAACATAGGTCTTTTGCCAATTTCCTGCCCAACGTTTGTTTACACCCATGGCTTTTTGACAGCAAGCACTTCAGAAGTTAGCCACTCAAGTCACTTGAGGAATGCAATCCTGGCTACTATCGCGATGTGAACTTCCATTGCATCCCATACTGGTGCAAGGAGGAAGAAGGCTGCGCCGTTTGTGCGCACCAGAGTCTGAGGACCGCTGATGGCCAGTGTGCTGAGTGCCATCCTGGATACATTAAGACATTGGACAACCTGTGTGAGCCCTACACCTGCTTGACAGGCGCATGTGATTTGGGTGTGACTCTCTTCCCCAAGAGGGAACAAACACCGTTGCCAGGCGAGGGATCTGCATGCAAGACCTGCCGTCCACAAAGTGAGAGGACAGGCCACGGCCACTTGGACCCAATCTCCGGTGCAGTTTCAATGGCACCTCCTTTCAGGGTTTGTCCACCGATTCTTAGTAAAGCAGCATCCAAAGGTCAAATGCACCACACACACGTATTTATGTGTATATATATATACAGATAGTTTATAGTTATACTATAATATACTATATACTGTATACTGTAATATTCTTCATGGTCATGTAGAGATGTGCCAAGGACAGTGCCTTGAGTGCAACGCTGGGTATGACCTCAACTCTGCTCACACTTGTGGAACTTTCACCTGTTCCACGGGACCAGATGAAGCATGCAAGGTGATTGGGCTGCAGACGTGAAATGGCAGGTTCCCACAAAGGGTTCAGATCTAGTAACTAGTACGGCAGGAGTTTCTTGTAGCAGTTGTTTGAGAAATGGGCGGCCACGTGGGGCTGGACGATAGGCTCATGCTGACACTGTTGGCCTGAGGTGT